AAAATTTTTAATAGGTTACCTACAAATGTCTTTTGATGTTGTGTGGCCAAATGTTAAACAAAATTATTTACAACATTTACTTATTAAAATCAAAATATTTTCTAATATAACGCTATTGCCGACTTCTTCTTTCTTTTGCTGTAAGAGTAAATTACAAATATCTATTGTATATTATAGTCATTTATTTAGCTGTATTTTGCTTAAATAGCTATTTATAAAATTAAGATTATAAATTGAATTAAGTACCTACTCTTAAGATCGGTTTATAAAAGCGTCATTACATTAATTACAATCAAATATCAGATTAACTGATCACGTGCCCAAATTGAACCAACCAGATTTACGGACTAATCGCCCATTAACTTCTACCACAAATTAATTTTTAGTTCTATAACCCTACCTTTAATTTTTTTGAAATTTCTCAAAATTTTGTTTGTACTTTATTTGGTTTTGAGTTCTTCAATAACTTCCAAACTCTCTTGCTCTTAGTTTGTTTATACACAACTTGCGCCCCAGAGAAAAATGCCATATAAGGTAAGATCCTAGGAACATGGAAAAAATAGTAAAAAAATTGAGAGTTTAAATTTGGCACTTTGACTCTATTCATTTCTGTTGGAAAAGTAATTTTCCAAGTTCTTTTGCTACAGGCTATTAAAAGAGGAAACAATGAAGCTGTATCCTAATTTGTAACTCTGTTCAATGTCATTTGTGGTCCTTATTGGCAAAATTTTTGTACTTTTATTAGATAATTGTATAAAAACCTATACAAAATCATCAGTATCATTAAATAAACATAAAAAAATGTTAAATGTCAAAAAATAAATGTCAAATTTTTTTGACAGATACAATTTTTTAAACATGTTTTTCATGTTCCTGGTTTCTTATCTTACTTGAAATTTTTCTCTGGGACGCGAGTTTTGGCGTACCCTGTATACCTACTAAATATACCTACTAAATATTTCTTAATCCGGATCTGTTTTATAGAAGTAACGATTTATTTCGTAAATGGCCACCAGACTTGAAAGCATGCGCTGCCACTGTTACGCCTATTTTGTAATGGTCGTTGCTGTCTCTTCCAATGGCTGCAAGCCATTATATCGCCCTAGGCAACCCCACTGTGTCAGAACCGGATTAAATATATTCCTCAAAATATTTTTAGAAATCAATTCAGAAATACCTAAAAAGTCTGTTTCATTAGTTGATCTCTTAAAAATCGTTTTGTTCAAAAATTTAAACCATGAAAATGACCTAGCTCTTTCTTGTAGGTATAAAAATTTATCGTTTCCAAAAATTATCATTTAATAAATATTACTTTACTATTAAATGTGTTTTATTATTTTCGATGTCATAACTTCAGGAAATTTTTACTTTTGTTATTTTGTAAATTGCGGTAAAACTGTCCCTCAAACGTTATAATGTTACATACAGGTCTCCGGAAATTGGGTAGTCTCCTAAGAGACTACCCAATTTTTTTTAAACATTTTTTAGTACTCTAGAGTACTAGAGTAGTTTTTTAAACATTTAAAAATGTTTAAAAATTCTCTGTCAAAAAATTTTGACATTTATTTTTTGATATTTGACATTTTTTATGTTTATTTAATAATACTGTTGATTTTGTATGTATATGTTTTTTTATAAGTATTTAGAAAGGTACAAAAATTGACAATAAAATCCACAAATAACATTAAACAGCGTTACAATTTAGGATATAGCTTCTTTATTTCTTCTTTTAATAGCCTGCAGCAAAAAAACTTTTCTGGTATCGTATATTACATGGGGCATTTTTCTCTGGGGCACGAGTTCTGGCGCACCTTATGTAATGGACAACCAATAGTCGGACAAAGAATAGCTTTTTACAAAATGTAACAGGACCTAACCGCCCGATAACAAAGTGTCACAGAGGTGCGCGACTTTCCGGTCCCCTGTATGTAAAATATTCCGAAAAATCGACAAAATTGAAAAAATTATAAAAACTTCAAAAATGTTGTAAAAATGTAAGAAATAAATTTTTAAAAAATTTGTGTTAGTTTTATTTTATTTTTATTTTTATATTTCGGTGTCACAAGAAGCATTTTGTGCTACTGTTTTTAGAAAAATTTTATGCTACATTTTTACCATTACTGACTGCATATTGTGAGAAATTATTGTAGATCAAGATATTTTATCAAAACTCTAATGGAGGTAAACCCCCTCTAAAATCTGCTTCTGTTGGCTGCGTCACTGCTCAACGGCAACTTGTTCTGCTACTTTTTGCAGCAAATCACCGCTTCTTTCAGAAAACAAACCTACTGAAACTAAAGAAATACAAAAATCTGTAAAAATTGTAATTAAAGCAGTTTAAAACATTACAAGTTAAAAGTTTTTTGTTAAATAAAAGTATTGCTGCCAAACCCTTTAATCTAATCTCTTGAAGCACAATATTTTCCTCGATTTCTTCATTGACTCTTTTCATTGACAGCCACTAATCACACGAAATTTTGAATTTCTTACTTCTAAATGTTTGATAAGCACTCACACACACCCAATTTCATTATATGTAGAGGGTGATTTTAAGATATGTGGACATATTTTACAGATGCTAGTATAGAACCAAAATAGCGAAAAGTAGCCTAATTTGTACCGGTGCTTGAATTGTATACTTCTGTGAAATTTTAAAGAACAAGAGCTTATGCGGCGTAAATTAAGACTAGCAGAGAGTAATTTGACAATGTAGTAAAATTCAGGACTGTAGCTAGAGGTTTCAGTGTGTTACTGACGAAAGAAAAAAATATGGACAAACAATATAAGTTTGCTTCGATTTTTCGTAAGGCTTTTTGCCGCATTATTTTAAATAATTATTAATACACTGCATGTTATTGGTCTATTAGTTACGATAGTTTAGTGTTTTTACTTAAACAAAAACAATTCTAACCTTACGTTTTGGTCTGTAATCTCATTTGTGTTTATTAACTGTCAGTATCCTAAGTTGTACCCGCGCAATTACTTACAATGAAAATTAAAAACATTTAGTTTTAAATCAAAGTTGTGCACATAAAAACTAGATGAGATAACTGGTTTCACAAATTGCTAGAAGAAGCGTTTCTTGGTTTGTAGAGCAGTATTTGATATAGCAATGGGTTAAAGTGTTTTCTCACTCCAAAGAGAAAATTAACAACTTATAGTATGGTACAATTTAGGACACCAAGTGGTACAGTTTAAGCTACCGGTTGCTAAATTTGTTCCTCTTGTAAATCTCCTATTTTTAAATTGTTTTTACATTAGTTATTTTTTAAAATTAACAAAAAAATTAAATACGCTGTTAAAAATATCAATCTGTAACATCCATATATTGTTTTTGATTTCAAAAACAAACAAAGTACAATTTAAGCTACCTTCCCTTAATTTAACTTGCCTTATTTGAATGTTATAGTTTTTGAGATACAAAAAATTTTGTTTATCGAATAAATTTAAATTTAAGACAAAGCCTTAAACTTCACCAACTCAAATTGTAAACAATTATGATCTCTGAGGTTACCTCTTCAAAATCTTTTACACACCAAAAAGTGTCCTCATATTAAATGAAATCAAAAACGGAAAAAATTTTAGATTAATTTTTTTGTTGAAAATATTACTTACCCAATTTCATTACCTCAAATGTTACCGATTAGCAATGTAAACTAAAAAAGTCCAAACTTTGTTTAAGTATATTTTTCTTATATTTTTTGAAAACTTTTCCCACGTCAAAGTAAGTACATATTTTTACTAATGTATGTAGATACAACATAATATTATAAAATCTAGTTTGCTCCATTTCCATCTTAGCGTTTATGCCTTCATTTTCATTGAGTTCAATACGTGCTTTTAATCAATAATGAGCAAAAAAACGAGAAATCTTAGTGGTTAAGGTATGAAATCATTAGTTTAATCTTGGCCAATATAGGTATTTCAATGTCACTTTGGCATGATTTAGTAAATTTGTGCAAAAAAATTTGTCTGAGACACGTATGCAAATAGTTTTAAGAGGTTCTTCTCATCAAAAATTTGACCTTTGTCGCCTCGTCCTCAATTACAATAATTTCAATAAATAGTCATTTTTGTTAGCAATGAAAATAGGTAATGTTTTTCATTCTTTCTAAAAAAAAATTTAATCTGTTACGACAATACAAATAATGTTTGTCATTTTAAAAAGAAATTAGTCTTATTCTGTTATACCAAACTGTGAGAAAAAATATCCAACAATACATATCCCTACTGCACTTTTGTCAGCATTTATGTATGCTAGCGGTCCGCCATTTCAGTGCATTTTTATCGCTTGGGTTCTGAAATGTATGTACTTTATAAGGGTTGCTTACGACCATTCCTCTTCCCCAATTTATTCTTTTATTTCCCTATGTTTGGGGTAACCAATAGAGAACGACGTCGGCCATTAAATTTTACGACTTCAGTACACATGCCGTACTAAAAATTTTTATACCGAAGGGGATATTGCTTCGCTAAGTTTCATTCGATATAACTTTCATTAATTTTACGATCTTGATGCTCTTATATGTAAGTAATATAAGCCATAAATTTGCCAATAGTTTAATATCAGCAAAGCGTTCTAGCAAAAAACGAGATAATATAAGAATAAAATTCTTATGGGACTGTATAGATGAAAACTGAGTTACCGAGATTAGAAAAGTAAAATAAACGATAAATATTTTCCCACTAAACTAGAATTATCAAGCAGAAACTCAAGTTTGTGTATAAGCTGTAAAATGTTACACAATAGGTTCTAATGACCTTCATGTTGCCATTACCACCCTTCAGACCAAGAACATTTTATGCATCACCTTTGCATTTTTTGTGTGGTATCTTTTTATGGTATTTTTATGTTTACGACTAACGTGAGACGGTTGTCCTATCATAAATTATAAGAGGACTCAAAGGCTTCCTGGTTAGTGTTACAAAAGTGTTTAAATCAAAGTTGTACAAAGAAACACGTAACGTATTGTGTGGGCTAAAAATAAATAAATTTAAGATTCTTGTTTAGGTAACTTTTTACTCAAAGACAAAACTGATACAATTTATTGTAACGTTCCAACCATGTCTTCTAGAATAAAATTCATGGCGTCAGGATTATCCAAAGGAACCTAAAAAATAACTAATAGGTATAGAAACCAAACTGTTTCGGCTAAAAATCACCATGTGACCAGCTCTATTCACCCAGTACATCGCAAAATTTCCTAATTTTTTGTAATATCCTTCAAGTATCCCGTTTGAAAGAATCCCTTTTCTTTCGACATTTTTCCACTCTTCTGAACCTTCAAATTTCAATTCATCGACCCATTTGACAGTCCCAGGAGTGTCCACAATCAAGTCTAATTGTCCATTGTACACAGCAACTTTAATATCAGTCGTATTTAATAATAGTTCAACTAGAAAAAATAGTTGTTATTTGTGAACAAAAAAAAAACCTCTCTATACCAATATCTGTGACAGGTTTCATAAAATCTCCCACAAGAGCACTAAAAACAGCCCCTGCTTGGTCACCCCACGTCACATTCAAGTCTAAAGCTTCCCTTACTTGAGTGTTCATAAGCAATGCAATTTTATCATCAAGATAATCACGAGTTGCTGGTTTTATTACATTTCCTATAACACAGATGTAATCAAGAATTCTTTCATTTAACTTAACTTACGAGCTTTCCATATTGATGACACTTTAGTCAGAATATTATAAAAATCAATATTTTCAGTCAGGAGAGCGATTGTCCCCTCAGTTTCAGCCCAGAGTTGTGTGGCTTCAATAAAATGGCCACGATCGAGGGCTGATTTAGTCAATTGTGCCATATCTTGAATTTGTTTGTAACCATTGTGATCGACAGCACCCTAAAATTTAAATAATAATTTGAAATAAGTATAATTAATTTAAAAATCATACCACGTGGAGTAAATAGGAAGCCCAAGATAACACCAGATCTATTGGCGAAATCCAGGCATCACCAAGCCCAACTCCTGCCAATTCCATGTCGAGGAAACCCTCTTTAATTTGCTAAAAAATAGCATTATTTGAGAATTATTCAAAAAAAATTACTTTGTCAACGAGAAGCGCAATTTCTGCGGCCATTTTCCCTCCATAAGATTCCGAAAAAATATAGACAGGAGTATCTCTTAGCTCAGGTAAAACTTCATAAAAGCCTTTTAACAATTCAATAAAATCTTGAGCAATTTGTTTATTATTGGTTGCTAAATATGTGCTAGAATCCACATGACTGTATCCTGTTCCTACAGGATTATCCACAAACAGGACATTGTAATTATTAATCCATGTGGTGTTTCGCGGATTAAGATCGGCGTCAAAAGGCCCAATTTCGGCGAAATTCCCAAATCCAGTGGACGAAGCTCCGGGTCCTCCTTGCAACCAAATAATAAGAGGCTTTTCTGTGTAATTTTCAGTCGCAAGAGTTCGATGAAGCCACCAGAAAATATGAGCTCCTTGACGGACAGTTACAAAGCCCCAGTTTTGGTCGCTAGGGCCGAAGCCCTTTCGAGCTATTTTCTATTAATTATTAATTCAAATTTTGTTAATCGGCTTACCAGAAGCTGAGAGTAGAATTGAAAGCACACACAAAATAACTTTCATGTTTGAAACAAGAATGAAAAAATTGTGAAAAACGGGCTTTTATATTCTGCTAGCGGTACTTGTGAAATGACCCGCATTTCCCAAATTTCCCAATTAGTAGATGCTAATTATGATTTAAAATTAAAATTTGTATGCAGGCATGATAATAAAATTTCTACAGTTTTGCTTCATTTGATTTTTTAGTCAATTATTTAAAACCCAAAAAATTACATTGAAATGATAACTGAAGATATTGATTCAAAATTTCTAATTTTCTTATCACTGTCACAGTCAACAACTTGAACTATTTTTTAAGAGACAACCTTTTGAGATAACATTTTAAAGATTTCTAAATATTACACAAGAAAGTACTTGTATTTTGATCAGTTCACTTTAATTTCGTCAGTAAAATGAAAACATTTGTGTTGGGCCTTCTTTTTTTAACCTCCGTCGTCGGTAAATTAATTTAATTTAACTAAATTTTTTTCTAATATTTTTGAAAGCTCGCAAAGGCTTTGGTCCGACGGAACAAGAATGGGGATTCGTCCAAGTCCGAGCTGGAGCTAAAATGTTTTGGTGGTTGCACCAAACCAGTGCCAACGTATCAAGTTACACTGATCGTCCTCTAGTTATATGGTTACAAGGGGGTCCGGGATCTTCTTCCACCGGATACGGCAATTTTGCTGAGCTTGGGCCTCTAGACGCTGATTTAAATCCCCGAAATACGAGTTGGATTAACGAATATAATGTCCTTTTTGTCGATAATCCAGTCGGGACTGGATATAGCCATGTCGATGAAAGCAAATACTTTGCTACTAATAATATGCAAATCGCTTCGGATTTTGTTGTTTTCTTGAAAGGGTTTTACGAAGCTGTGCCCGATTTGAAGAAAACTCCATTGTATATTTTTTCAGAGTCTTATGGTGGAAAAATGACCGCGGATATTGCACTCCAAGTTGATGCGGTGAGTGGAATAAAAATCCAATTTTACGTTTTTAAAATCATTAAAAATTAAAGGCTATTAAAAGTGGTTCGTTAGATGCAAATTTGATCGGTGTTGGACTTGGCGATTCTTGGATTTCACCAGTTGATTCAGTCTTGAGTTGGGGTCCTTATTTACTAAGTGTGGTATTATTTCCTTAACTTTCACGTTTCTTTTTTTAAATAATTTTTTAAAGGGAGCAATCGATCAAAACCAATACGAACGACTACAAAAAACGGCTGAAGAAGCAAAAAAAGCCATTGAAGATGGCAGATATTCAGCAGCTACAGACCTCTTCCATCAAGGTCTAACACTTATTGAAGTAACGACCGCAAACATAGACGTATATAATATTTTAACTATAGTTTCGTCGAATTGGAATTTGAAAAGTATTTTCAAGATTGCTTTCCTCATTTTTATTTGAATACATTTAACTTGTAGATAAGTTAATAATGTCTGTTAATGATGATGTTGATGACAAAATTTCGGTGATAATGAATAATCAAGTGAAAGAAGCTTTAGGTCTTGATGTTAATTGGGGAGACCAATCGGATGGTGTTGCTGATGCCTTACATGAAGATTTCATGAAACCAGTTATTGAAGCTGGTACAAATCAAAAGAAAATTAATTTTCAGTTAATATAATTTAAATTTTAGTTGAAAGTCTCTTAAATAATACCAATATTCAAGTGGCCATTTACAACGGCCAATTAGATTTAATTGTAGACACTCCAGGTAAATGATAATTAATGTAGTATTTCACTTAAATTGCTATGAACTGTAAATCTGTAAGAAGATAATTTACTCACAAAAAACTGTTATTAATTTTTTAGGACAAATGCAATGGTTGGATAATCTGAAATTTAGTGGTTCAAAAGATTGGAAAAACGCTGAAAGAAAAACAATTGCAGTAAATGAAATTGTTGAAGGGTATTATAAAAAAGTAGGAAATCTTGCAATGTATTGGGTTGACAGAGCTGGTCATATGGTACGTATGTTTTTCAAAATTAAATAACAAAAAAAAATGGTTTTATTTAGGTGCCAAGAGATAATCCAGCTGCAATGAGCTTTATTCTACAAGACATGACCAATGGATCTTGGACAAACAATTAATAAAATACACTATTTGCAATAAAAATATTGTCTTTTGTTGCATCATTTTATTCCTACCTAAAGCCAGTTTACAAAAATTTAATTGCTATTAAATTTTCCTACAAAATTAAATTAATGTAATTTAATTGTAGATTATATTTAATTTGCTTTCTATTAATTAATTTTAACTTAAAAAAGCATTCTCTTAGTTATTATCTTTATTTTTTTATTATTTCCTTCAAATAACAAATATTTCTACAATATTAGAATTAAGGTTGTGAAAATTCTTCAAATTTCAAGTGAGCTTCATTTTCTGATTGTAAGTGGAAGGTAAAATTTTAAAGTCGAACCAACGAATTAAAATGTTGAATAAAATATTTGCTTAACAAAAAAAATTAGTTTCGGCAAGACATCTTGTTATCTTCAGTACGAAAATACTAAACAAATTCATGAGAAACCTATTTGTTAAAATTTTATTTTAATTTGTGGGTTCATCTTTGAAATTTTACCTTCCACTTACAATAATAATAAAATTATACTACCACATTAAATAATATTTGCTTAACAAAAAAAAATAGTTTCGGCAAGACATCTTCTTATTTTCAGTACGAAAATACTAAACAAATTCATGAGAAACCTATTTGT